TGCTTTTGATACTCCAAACAAATCTTTTGTAACATTCTTAATAGCACAAGTTATTTTTTTCACATAACATTAGCTTTCTCATGCAACCACTATAAGTGATGAGGTGCTCCTCTCTATATTAGGTACATAAACTTTCACTTGGAATAACTTTATAATATTTGTAATACAAACGATCTATTTATTTTATAAGAAAATAATCAATCTAAGTTTTCTTATATCCATTCTTATAAGTGATGAGGTGCTCCTCTCTTTTCTTAAATAATATATTAGCAATAACAAATTATAAACTAGAACAATATCTAATATGATCTTACCAACTTCATTAGTCGCTCCAAATGCATAGCCACTATAAATATTTTTAAAATCTTATATCACTTTACCAACATTTCTATTTCAAACCCTCTAAAAAAAATCTTTCTTTAAGAGGTATATTTCGTATTAATTCTTCTGAGTCATTCCAAATTTTTATTTTTAAGCACATATCTAAACCTACTTGAGTATAAACACTTACATGTTAATAATCTTAGCATTAACAGCAATCTTTAAAGTCTTACTTATATCTTCAATTCTAATAATTTCTATAACATTATCCTTCAAATTATTATTTATAATCACACCTATATCATTTCTAGTACAACTCCTACCCGAATATTATAGTTTAAATCCTAAATTATAAATCTCCTTTAACTTCTCTCCAACCTATTTAATTTTCTGAATTCATATAATATTTATCTTCTTATGAATCATAATATATATTAATTCTATTAATTTGCTAATGGATCAACTGAGCATATACAGTCGAACAACCCAAACCCAGCAAAGGGGGTAGGTCTAGCTGGCAAGAGGAAGAGCCCTGTGCCCCAATAGTGTGGGCGGCAGGCAAGGAAAGAGGGGGGCTAAAAGGGTCTTAATTCTACCATTAATTACTTACCATAGAAAATCAAAATTGTGAGGGAATTAGGAAGGTTTATTTAGGAAAATATGACTGATTTGAATTCAAATTTGGAAGGAAATTAAGAAGGTTTATTTAAAGAAAGATGGCTAATTTGAATTAAGATTTTGGAGGGAATTAGATAAGTTTATTTAAGATTAATTAGGTTGTTTTATTTTCATTATATAATTTTATGTTTAAAAGTAATTTTCTTTGGAGTTATTCCTGGTGGCACCTAGGGATTTTGGAGAGTCAATCAACCTCTCGAATAGTAGTTCAACTTGTATCTTGATTTGTTGTGCCGATATCAATAAAAGTATACCATAATCTCATTCCTTCTCGTTGATTTATGTTGTATTTTCTCTTTGTTATTGTTGTTTTTCTTTTGTTGTGCGGAGATCGAATTCCTATTATGTGTCTATAAGAGAACATATATTCCAAGTTCCTATCATAATCCTAGTTTCATGGACTAGCTTATTTGCCCACATCCATCCATGATGTGAAAATTTTTACTTATTTAGCACTGCACCCAGTGTCGGTGCAACAACCTTGCAAAATTCTCGTTATATTCAGATCATACAATGTGTCGCTTCCAAGGAACGCCCTAACATTAACACAATTTATTAAAGGATTCATATCATGATTATTCAACAAGTTTTATGCTGGTTGTCGACTACCTAATGTAGCCCTCTACTTCTCATCCAGGGCATGGGACCTGGCACCATCAACAAAGTTAACTATGATATACTTTATTTTGATTATACCTTTGGGGGGACAAATATAAATTTTACTTTTGCATCAACAAATGCTCATTTGAAAAGGTTGGAGTTGCTCAAGTAGAAGATAAGATTAGAGAGAGTCGCCTTAGATGATTTGGTCACATAAAACGGCGGCACCGATGACCCGGTTAGGTTTTGAATCAATTCACTTGATAATAGTTCAATCCTATTTTTATTTCTTTCTGTCTATCCTTCATACCCATTGGCCACATGTTACTAGTAGTCCATGACCACCAACCCATCTCGCCATCTCTCTATTTTCCCTTATTACAAGTTTTAACTACATCAAAAATACATCACCTACAGTTTTAGCAACTAGATGCACCAACCTGTTGCACAATTTTCGTCTTGTCTCGACTCAAATTGAATCAAGTCAGGTCCAATTGGGTTCAATCAATCCCAATCGATTTGATCAAGTTTGACCAAACTCAAATTGAGTTCAAGTTGACTCATTTGGTTCAGCCCAATCTTCCAAATCAAATAATCCCATCAGACGGCTGAGATAACCTTAATACACTAACCTGCATTGTAGTCTTTCGATCCTATCCCAAGATTTTTGCGATTGGAGCAGTCCAAGTAGCATGGCTTCTCGCTCTGATTACCTAGAAATGAAAAACCAAGCGGGCTTAAGTTGTTTTGTTCGGCTTCTCGAGCATAAATGAGGGAGAGAACAAGTGGAAGAGGCCTAGTCGTGCATGCTTGGGTAGATCGAACATGAGTGGCTAGAAGCAGGAGGACCTAGCATATGTGTTCGAGTTGGACTGAGTAAGGAAACTATGCCTAGGGGCATCTCGTCCATGTTTGGGACGAAGAAGAGCAAGGGAGGATAGTCATTTCTTAGGTTCTCTTGTGTGCATGTCAAGGCCGAGTCAAACGTCTAGGCGAGCTCATTCATATAGCAAGGGAAGAAATCGGGGAACACTCATGTTTGCACGGTTCGGGGAGAGCTCAAGGGGGGAGACGCTGCTGCTCATCTTGTTTCTTCCAAAACCAATACAAGGAAGTAATTGCAGTCAAGCAGCCACTTGTGATTCTCCATAGAGCATGAGTCAAAGGTTGAAGTGAGTTGTGTGCGTCCAAGCAAGACAAGCAGGCTCGGCAGCTACTACTTCTCCTTCTCACTGCTCTTCCAAACTGAGAGAAGCAGGGAGACCTCATTGCCTAGACAAATCTATTAAAAAAGGGGTCAAGTTTCTTCCACCTCTTTCACTAATTCTGGCGAGGCGTTGGCAGAGGCAACTTCTCGAACAACGGTCATCCTTACATTTAAATCATCTTTGTATCTTCAAGACAAAGGTGATACGATCGGAACCATCGAACGTTAGCTCCAGTGAGGTATACTTCTAAAACTTAGAAAGACCTAGGTCTTTACGCCTTTTGTGGATGTATGTATAGCACTCCCAAACTCCTAGGTCCTTAGAAACCATCATTTTACGCTTTCCAAAACCCAAAATGCCCGTTTCCCTTGTTGCAAATCCGTGGAAATTCGATGATTTCCGATGGATTTTTTTCACCTAAGAGCTTAAAGAGAGAGATGACGAAACGCCAAACCATTGGACTTGTGTCTAATGACCCCAATTGCATGATATGCATTCATGTTGCTCCCAAATCCTTCACCTATAAACAAAACCATAGGCTTTCATAGCCATTGGATCCAAATCCAATGGTTATGCACTTGACCAAATTAGGTTGCATTTTGCTTAGGACTTCGTTTGTGCCATAATAAATCAACAAAAATAATGTGTTATAGGCCTCTTGTAAGGGTTGTCGCTCTCCTAAAAGAAAATTTTTGCAAAGTGTGTAAATATGTTCATTTAATTTTGAGTGTTTGGAAAGCTAATTTGAAGTATTCTATAGACCCTTAAAGATCCATATAGATTATACTCCATCTCACTTTAGAATTATTTAAGCTTAGCTATCAATTCCCAAATCAAATGGATAAATAAAATGATAATTAACCTAAGCATTTGAGAAAACTTCTAAAATTGTAAGTCATTTAATACACACCTGAGTCCTTAAATTTGGTTTAGCACCCTTCTAAAGGCAAAGGCATGATCATTTACTATTTTAATGAATCCAAATTATTCAAAGAATATATATATAGATATAGGAACTCTTGTTTAGGAGCCTTCTATTCTCATGCATGATGCTTTGGAGCCTCTTCCAAGACTTCAAAAAATTTATTGCATGAACTCTACGATTCCTTAGGAGTTACCATCATCCTAAATAAATCCTAGGATTATCCTGAATCAAATTGAGCCAAACCCAACTTGACTAAGCCAATCCTTTAGCCCCCTTACTTGGTGCTTCTTTGAGCTTGCATAGAGGTTTCCAAATAACCTTTAAAGAGTTCAAGAGAGCATTGGAGACTCTTAGAACCAAAACTTAAGTCCCATTGACCAACCTATTGAACCAAAATTAACAGATGATATTCGCAACCATAGAATCCCAACCCTAGCTTATTTCATTTGCTTAAACATTTTAAACAAATGGACCTTTATCCTTAAAACAAAAGTTCAAGGATCCCTTGATGTTTTGTAATCCTAAAGTTATAAATCATCCCTCATTCCTATAGTCCCAAAAAGTCAGAAAATTCTCCAATCCCTAGGATACCATGAATGACAGGCTTACCCCAAAGAGGTGAAATGTCTACTTCACTGGATCTTAGGATACCATGAATGACAGGCTTATCCCAAAGCAAGCAGAGATCATTCCATGGATTCTTTTTAACACTCTAAAAATCAAATAAAAGTTTTCTAAAGTGCTCCAAGAATCATTGTATTTCTTAAAAAATGTCCCAGCACTAGCATTAGTTGATTGAATGATTGAACTACTATTATGCAAAGAAGTACAAATAGAAGTATAAACTTTAAAAAGTTTTCTATGAAACTTTCTAAAGCACCGTTCTAAATTTTTAATTTCCAAATAACTAGGCCTTTTTCACAATTGATGGAGCAAACATTCTAAAACTACTATTAATCAAATATGTAGAAGTAGAAAACATAAAGTGATGCTAAACAAAACTATAAAGCTAGTATGAGGCCATTTATAATGATTATGATGTTCAAATTTCATTTATTTAATAATTTATTCCAATCATGTAATCTGATTTGATGCAAACTCTAAAGGCCTAACTGTAATAGTCAGCTAATAATATAAAAAATCTATTAACATGCCAAAAGAAGCCTACAAATCATCCCTTGGTGAAATTAAACTTTAAGAAATAAATTTCAAAGCCAGTACAAAGTGAAATATAGCATATATTCAATGGAATTGAGAAAGAAACTCACGGTGGACAATAACTTTATCAGGATGTTTCTTGATGAACTGTTCCGCAGCAAACCTCCAGTCTTTTGCACTGCAAACAAGCAAAAGAAAAAAGAGAGACAGAAAATTTTAGGGCATAATGTAATGAGTAGTTTAATGGTTATTGTGAGGCATGATGATTTATAATTTATAGGTTATTAGTGATTTAGTGTTTATTACACTGTTATTAGATCATACATCATTAGATGCTTTGGTATTCTATAAATACTCTCCACTTGAGAAGGATTATACCAAAACAAAGATGAAGAAATTGAGCTCAGGCTCGCTTCCATCCCCCCCCCACCCCATTGCTACCTAGAGTTGTGGTCATCCTACAATTGCCTTCTGATACCTCAAATTGTCTTTTGGGAATTCATGCAATCTCTGAGTTTCGTAGTTGTAATGAATTTTCTATGTGCTACTGTATTGTTATTGTTTTGGCTTGCAATAATGATGCTCTTATTGAGCCTCACCAATGTCCGGTACTCCATCCATCCTACACCAAATTCCTCTTGATGCCTCTTTGATTTCCCCTTGCTTGCTCTCACACCCCTATAGCTAGATATGCATCGTCCAGTCATGAATCACTCAATCTAGAGACTTTGGCTCCAACCAAACCCTCACATCCAAATCTAGCCACCTCCGCCTAAGACTCATTGTCACCCGATCTAACCACCTCCATCTACATCCCGAATCATAGAGTTTATAGTCTTTGTTTTGTATCATCTCAAGGCAGTCAATGGTCATCTTGCCAAACCTATCATTTGCCTCCACTTATGTCTTGTCGTCTGGCCCAATCCATCCACAGCTACCTTGCCCTTAAAGTCCTTGTGAAAAGGTGGATAAAGAATAAATGTAATGAATGGTTTAGTGGGTTATTGGGAGTCCTAATAGTTTATAGGTTTTATGGCTTATTAGGTTTTTATTAGGGCATTTTGTGTATTTGTACTCTATAAATACTTTCCCTTATGGAGGATTAGAGAAGGCAAAGTTAAAATATTGAGCTAAGGCTCACCTCCCTCACCCCTCAATGCTACCTAGAGTTATGGGAATCCTTTAACTGCCCTTCTACTTCCCCAGCCTATTTGTCAGGAACACTAAGCTGTGTGGTTTGTTAACACCTAAGTAATACGATTATTGCTTATTATCTGTTATAACCTTTTCTTGTAATCCAATGGCTAAGCTACACGTGTAAAGCAAACCTATCTCTATCTTTATAAATAGGTAGCTGTACTTGTTCTCTAGTAATGAAAATCACTTTATCTCCTTCGTGTCCTTTTCTGTTCTTGTCGTCTTCTTCACTGTTCATCTTCTTCATCTCCGGCAAGAAGCGGAATATGAGTTTCTACATGGTATCAGTAGAGGCTTGATCCTGCGGCCAACCCTGTCCATGGCTTCATCTATCTCTCGCTCCTCATCTCCTACACCTCCGTCTAACACTGACGCTCCGTCGTCTAATCTTAAACATGGTCTGTACCCCTCTCTTAAATTCATCATAGGCCACCTGAAAACTTTGGTTCCTCACCATCTATCCTCGGATAACTATCCCATATGGCGCCATCAAATCCTTAAGCTGTTTAAGGTGAATGGATTCGCTATCTTTCTTGAAAAACAATCGTTTCAAGATCAAGAAACGAGCGATACTCTCTACACTGAAACCTCCTGGGCGTTCACCAACCAAAATCTTGCGGCTGCTATCTGCTCCACCATATCGGAACCGGTATTACCGTACGTAATACATCTTGAATCCTCCTACGCTATCTGGCAAGCTCTCCAAATCAGATTTCAGTCAGCGAATAGATCCAAGGTAATGCAACTTAAAAACGAGTTGAACAACATTACAATGAAGAATATGTCGATGCAAAACTATCTCACTGAAATCAAAAAGATAGTCGATAACATAGCCTCTGCCGGATCCTCTCTTGACACGGAGGACATTATTCTTCATATCCTGAACGGATTGCCACCGTCGTATCAATCCTTCAAAACGACGGTCCGAACAATGCAATCATCCCTCAGCCTCGACAATTTCTACGCGATGCTCATCAGTGAAGAAATTCACATTCAAGCTGACTCTCTGCGTTCGTCTCTTCATCAAGATCAGCAAACCGCTCTTTACGTGAACCATAACAGAAGCCGCCGTGGTCGTGGTCGACAGCAGAATTACTCGTCATCCGTTCCTAAACCTGCTACCAAATCTGTCATTATATGTCAAATTTGCCAGAAGAAAGGTAACTCTGCAGATGTTTGCTGGCATCGTCACAATGCCAACTACATTACCCCCAAGCCGCAGACTGAAAACAAATCGGCTCTGTTTGCAACCAACGCTGAATCTTCAGAGGATTGGTTTCTTGACTCCGGCGCCTCAACGCACATGACTAACAAACCCGATCATCTCACTCAAAGCTCGGTCTATCATGGTAAAGATCAGGTAATGGTTGGGGATGGTCGCTCCCTCCCGATAGCTCATTCGGTCACGGGAATTCTCCCCACACCAGATCGTAAGTTACTTCTGTCTAATCTTCTTCATTTACCTGTTATTTCACATAATCTTATATCTATCTCAAAATTGGCTTCTGCCAATCAAATTTCAATTTCGTTTACCCCTAATGACTTCTTTCTTAAGGATCTGCAGACTAATCGTATCATACTCAGTGGTCCCTGTAGAAACGGGCTTTATCCGATTACTATCCCGTCCAGAAAACAGACATTTCAAGCTATGCCGGCAGTTCAAATCAAGAACATCAACTGGCACGCCAGATTGGGTCACCCTCATCAGCGGACAATTCAGCAAATTTACAAATTATTTCCTAGCATTTTTACTTCATATAAATCGTCTTCTTGTTTGTCCTGTAATGTGTGTAAGAGTCATAAACTACCGTTTGATAAAGCTGTTCATAATACTAGTAAGCCCCTGCAATTACTACATTCCGATATCTGGGGTCCGTCCCCGGTTATGGCCATGAACGGCTATCGCTATTATCTTCTAATAATTGATGACTACTCACGTTACTGCTGGACATTCCCTATGTTACTCAAATCTGACACTACTAACATCTTCAAAAATTTTATTGTGTTTATTGAAAATCAAACAGCACACAAAATTAAATGTATTCGTTCAGACGGTGGAGGCGAATACATGAATATGCAGTTTAAAAACTATCTCGCAACCAAAGGCATTCAACATCAGGTGTCCTGCCCCTATACCCCCGAGCAAAACGGAGTAGCTGAGCGTAAGCACAGACACATCATAACTATGGCCAGAACAATGCTGCATTCCTCGTCCACACCTCATACATATTGGCCTGAAGCAGTGCAAACAGCGGTTTACCTTATAAACAGGCTTCCATCTCCCACCACGCGTCAACAAACTCCGTTGCAGCTCATGTTCAATTTAACTCCGGATTACACTGTTATGCGTCATTTTGGCTGCGCATGTTTTCCCCATTTACCTCAGCACGCTTCTCACAAGCTTCAACCAAATTCCACAATTTGTGTGTTTCTCGGTTACTCGGAAAATCACAAAGGCTACAAATGCCTGAATCGTATAAACAATCATATATTTATTTCCCGCCATGTCAAATTTAACGAAAACTTCTTTCCTTTTCAGAATCATACTACCTCCACTACTACACCTCAGCCGGCTCTTCCCGTCCAGCTGCTTCTTCCAACATCCAAAGCTACTGATATTCTGATCAGCTCTTCTCTCCCCACGGGTAGCATCAACCCGCCTCAGGAAGTCACACCTTCGCACACTAATCACCAGAACAATTCTATACCCAACTACCAATCCATGGAACCCGAACCTTTACATCATGACGCTCAAATCAAGCATCCCATGATAACCAGGTCTAAAACTGGTTCGCTCAAACCTACGCGCAAAATGAATCTACTTCATAACACCATCTCTGTTGATCATCATACCACTCCTACCAACTACACTGAGGCAAGCAAAGTCTTTGAGTGGCGACAAGCTATGGCAGATGAATTTGCGGCACTTCAAAAACAGGGTACTTGGACATTGGTTCCTCCGTCACCAAACATGTCCATTCTGGGATGTCGCTGGACATTTCGTAAGAAATTCAATGCCGATGGTACAGTGGCGAGATTCAAAGCAAGACTTGTTGCTCAAGGCAACCGACAAGAACATGGTTTGGACTATGAAGAAACCTTTAGCCCTGTTGCAAAACTTCCCACAATTCGCGTTCTTTTCACCATAGCGCTGCATCATGGATGGCCGGTGCAGCAACTCGATGTATCAAACGCATTTCTTCACGGCAGCTTACAAGAAACAGTTTTTATGCAGCAACCTAAAGGTTTTGAGGACAGCTTGAATCCCGACTATGTCTGCCACTTGAACAAAGCGATCTACGGGCTCAAGCAAGCCCCACGGCAGTGGTATACTACATTCACCAATCACCTTACTACTCTCGGGTTTCAGTACAGCAAGGCCGACCCATCTCTCTTGGTTTACCGTCGACATGACATTCAAATATTTCTTCTAGTCTACGTCGACGATATCCTCATTACCGGTAATAACAGCGAGGCTATCTCCCACCTTCTCCGACAACTTCATCTCAAGTTTACGATGAAGCACCTGGGAATTGCAAATCAGTTCCTTGGCATCAACATTAAAACTCTTCCAGATAAGTATTTTTTATCGCAATCTACGTATGCTCTTTCCTTACTCAAACAAACCAATCTTGACAAATGCAATTCTCTATGTAATCCTTCCTTCATGAAACAGCCAAAGCAACTCAGCTCGGTCGACAATCTCCCTGATGCCGTTACCTACAGACGGATTACCGGTGCTCTGCAATATCTCACCATCACAAGACCTGATATAGCACACGCCGTCAATACTCTCTCTCAGCATTTACAAAATCCGGAACAAATTCACCTATATCTGCTCAAGAGGTTACTCCGATATATCAAAGGCACTATTAACTACGGTCTTCCCATCAGCAAATCATCTCTAACGCTTCGCACATACTCTGACGCTGACTGGGCCGGTGATCCCGTAACGAGAAAATCTACATCCGGTTTCTGTACTTTCCTCGGCTCAACCATCATCTCCTGGACTGTCAAGAAACAAACGACAGTCTCTCGGTCGTCCACTGAATCTGAATACAGAGCCTTAGCTGCGGCCACCGCGGATACCATCTGGCTAAAAAGGCTTCTCGCTGATTTTCAGATCAGTCACGACGAACCAGTCTCGGTGTTCTGCGATAACACATCGGCGATTGCTCTGGCAAACAATCCGGTGTTTCACGCTAGAACGAAACACATAGAGATCGACCAGCGATTCATTAGGGATCACATTCAGCAACACACAATAAATCTGCTACCCATCAGCACCGTCGACCAACTCGCAGATATTCTCACCAAACCGCTTCCTACTCTGCGCTTCAAGCAACTCAGACTCAAACTGACGATCGACGAAGAATCGGCAGTTTGCGGGGAGCTGTTAACACCTAAGTAATACGATTATTGTTTATTATCTGTTATAACCTTTTCTTGTAATCCAATGGCTAAGCTACACGTGTAAAGCAAACCTATCTCTATCTTTATAAATAGGTAGCTGTACTTGTTCTCTAGTAATGAAAATCACTTTATCTCCTTCGTGTCCTTTTTTGTTCTTGTCGTCTTCTTCACTGTTCATCTTCTTCATCTCCGGCAAGAAGCGGAATATGAGTTTCTACATGGTTCTCTTCACCAATGCATGCTCATTTTAAAAAAAAATTCTAATATGATGTACAAGCAATAGCTTAAGCAACAAAAAGCTCAGCCTAGGCTTTAAAAATGAGTATTTTGACAAGAACTGTGAGAAATCCATCACTCCCACAAATAAAATAGAAAAAAGGCCTCGCAAACTAATTTCTGGTGGAATAGCAGAAAAGACCAAAGCATGTGAAATAAGAGAAACGAACGAGCAAAAACCAAGCAGAATCGTAAGATACCTCCCAACGAGTCCATTAACCATGACGACGAGGTGCTCCGGGATCCCTCTCCTGGTCGACGAGCCTTCCATACCTTCAGCCCAGAGATCCTCGCTGCGCTGAACAATCACCACATCACCCTTATTTTCCGTCTTCATCATTGGAGACCGAAAGCAGCCCATCCACTTCGCCGCAACGCCGTCAGCCGACGTGGATCGCGCGCGTGGCCGCAGCTCTAGGCAAGGCATTCCACCCGGTTGGCGGATCCAATATTGACCAGTTATACCAAAAGCAAAGGCCGAAGGAGCTCCGGCGGACAGCATTCGTGCCCGATAGGGTGCTCTTAGGACTCACTTGTGTTTAAGGGAAGAAGAAAGAAAGCGGACGCATTTCGATGAATCTTAACGGAACTTTTGGTGTTGGGTTCGGTTTGTGAAGAGATTTGAGAAACAAAAGTGGTGAAGATATAATTTCTCGACTTCGCCGGGTGTGAGGGAAGACGAGGAGCCGCCGCCTTCTGAGGTCCAGCGCTTCTTGCGGACTCTGCCGACAAACTTGCCCGGCTGCGGAATATTGTTGACCTTGATTGGCATAAATTTTGAGCCATACTCCTCTCAAATATCTCTACTGTTTATATTTTTTAAAATATGATTAAAATTCATTTTAAATGATTTTATTCTCATTTATATTCATAAATTATTTATTAAAAATATATCGAGAGTAAATTTTATTTAAAGTTATTAAAATTTGAATATTTATTCAAATAAAAGTTTCAATTCGATAAAAACATTATTCAATTGATTTCAAATCTTAGTTTTAACATACTAGAGTAGGCACAATCAAAATTCAAACTTGAGGAATTTTGTCCATGAGTGCGTTAGGAGATACATCGCAAGATTGCTGACATGCGACCTTAAAATTATTGGTTTACATCGTAGGATTGACGGCATGTCATGAGAAGAGTTCGCAGTTGAGTGGGTGTTTACTTTGGAAGGTATCGTATGGTCATTAGTGTGTGACATTAACATTATTGGGGAGTCATCACAAGTCAAATTTGTGTGAGAAGAAGGCGAGTTCATGTTTGAATGAGAAAGACATCACGGGATTGCTCGTGTGTGATCCCAACGTTGTTGGGAAGGCAACACAAGCTAACAGCATTTGAGGGGACGAGAGATTCATATTTGACAAAGAAAGACATTGTAGAACCACTTGCGTGTGAACTCAAAGTTGTTAGGAAGACATCACGGACCAGTGATTTAATGAACCTCCATTTCATTAAATAAATGATCTATTAATGATCTAATAAGAATATGATATTTTTTTTAATAAGAACTTGATATGATTTCTTGCATAAATGATTTTTTTCCTAGAGCGTTGTGACGCTATGTTGGTGAATGGAGTGGTGCTAACCTCTTTGTATAGTAGCATTTGGATTGAGCAGTGCAGCGGCAATGGGCTCTCTTTGGGAGAGTGTTTGGCGGAGGACAAGAAAGGAGAGAAGGGGGAGAGAAAAGGAAAAAATAGGAGAGAAAGTTTGCCTCAAGCTATTTTTCTCCGTCTTGGCAGTCGTGAAAATTGCTCATCTCATGCTAGGTGACCTTAACGTTAGTTATATTTTTAGTTATTTTGATTTCAGGGTTTTTCTCTCTCAAATCTCATAAAAATGTATTATCTTAGGTTTTACTGAACTTTCATCATGTCACTTTTGATATGTTGTAGATATCTTTATTTTGAATACTTTGATATGATCATATTCAGATTTCACTGATTAGTTTTTCATATATGGTATTATACCTAAAATGATAAGAATAAGGCACATAAAATATAATTTAGGACAATTTCATCTAATGTGATATAGCATGAATCTACTACTATACATTTGACATAACATGCATAGCTAATAAAATGCATCTAATTTGACTTATATATTGACAAGATTTATAACATGCACACTAATAGGCATACTGAATATATATGTTACAATTCATAATATTGATATGATTTATATATTATTTTAATTGCACTAGATATGCACATGATATAGGATGTATGTTATGTTAATGATAAAAATATGATATGGCATATGTGTGTATTTGCAAGAAAGGCTTGTTGGAGATTTGACTAATTCAAGTTGGCAAAGATATATTACCCTGTATAGAAGGGTGAGCTGTCAAACTTTCCTTTAAAAAATATTCGTGATATAATTCTAAAAGATTATATGAAAGGCATAATGAAAGCTTGATTAATATGATATGATATGATACACCGACTTGCAAGAAGTGACAACATTTCATATGAAGTCCCCTGACTTATGATTCATGAGACTGATGATTGATATGACTTATTCCTATAGGTTTGGCCTATAGGGCATAAGATATCTAATATAGAAGAAATATCACACGAGCTAGATGTCCTGATTTGCATAGCATTGTATGATATGTGCAAATGACATGATTTTATATGGTCAAATAGAACATTACATGGCATGATAGTTGCAATTGTACATTACATAATATGTTTGATATATAAAACAAGATACATAATAAAACGGATACGTGTATATGATAATAATATATTGGTTTATGATATACATGAATTGAACTGATATGATATGATATTTATATAAGTAGACATACTGATATATGATACTATATAATAAACACACTTATAAACATGAAATGATATAGAGATAACAGTTATAAAACAAAATTGCATACATTGATAATTGATACAAAACAATCATGATCCTGATACATTGACACAAATAGAGCATATATATATGATGCATTAATAATAAAAATAATAATTATATTGTTCAGATAACAAATACGTACTAATTTAGTTGCTAGTGAATTGTATATGGTATAGCCACATAAGTGGCTTATATAATTCATTGATAAAATTGACACGATTGTATTAATTCATATGATAACATTTCACATAGCACTTCACATGATAAACTAGAATAGGATTGAGATAATTATTATTTATCTATAATATGTTTATTGTTTGTATTGATTGGAATTGTTCATACTAACTGATATTATTCATATTGATCTAATTTTAAATATCTCATGCATATTATTTTTTTTTTATGTGCATTGAATGCAGTTATAAGTTTTATCTGACCTATTTGGATTGTTAACTTATAATGTGATCTACATGTTTTTTTAGGAAGGTAAGGTCATAGTGGAGTGAGAATTGATCAGAGCCTGGTATGGGTATTTCTTTTTGTTGTTAGGTTTTTCCATTCCTTTGTAATCATGGATGTATTTTTTGTTAGACTAACATGATGGTATCGATGATTATTATACATGATTTCTTAGAATATGTGATATGTATATGATGATGTATAAAAATGATATTTTTGTTGTATTTTTTGCATATTAAAAATTATTTTCTATGGGTGAATGATTAGAAGAGTAAAGATACAATTCTTTTCAAATCGGACTTGGGCATTTTTGATGCCTCAACCTGATCCAAGTTAATATGTTACAACTATAGATTAAATAGAGTTGGGGTGTGACTAGTGATGGTGAGGAGAGGAAAAGTTCACATTCAATCAAGGAAGGTATCATAAGACCATCTGCATGTGAGCTTGTTGAACTATAAATGTGTCATAAGATAATACCAATTATACTCAATCAAAATTGATATTAATGGAAGTTGTTGAATACAACATTAAGCAAAGTTAATCAAATGCCTCGGTCATGATAAAATCATTGAACTAGTGCTTTATTCTCAAGTCAAGCTAGACCAATATGTCCAAATACTAAAAATAACTAGAAAAGCGCTCACATTATCAAATTGCAACACGATGAAGAAGATAAATATTTGATGTGATGTCAAGCAAAAATGCACAATTGATGCACATTTTTTTAAATCACCAATAAAAGTATCTCTTTATTTCATATTCATCAAATAAAAGAAAAAAAACAAAACAAAATTTTCCCGTGCGTGAGAAAACAATATGTAATTCAACACTCACAAGAGATGGATATATATATCCACTCCTCATACATTATATGTCATGGGAAATCCCATTTTCATATTGGTATCATACGAGTTTATCAGTGAGAGTCCCATGCATCTTCACACATAATGTCCCTTCTATCCCTTTCACTTAAAAAACAAAAGCTAAATACCAAACATTACCCATATCTCAAGGTCTTTGATCCTTTTTTCTTCCTTTCTTAAGCAAAGTTGAACCCATCAATGCTTCCTTTACCACAACATGCATCATTTCTCTCCCAGTAACTCATAGGCTCTTCTCCCTCAAGCTCCCTCCTTCCTACCTTCATCATGTTGCCATCTCATGCTCTGTCACCCTAAAAAAATAGAATGTGACCACACATTTGAACCTTCAACCTCTCTCTCTCTCTCTCTCTCTCTCTCTCTCTCTCTCTCTCTCTCTCTCTCTCACACACACACACACACACACACACATCTTCAATTTTTATTGGGTGATGACAATCTTATTGGTTATTGTACATCATTGCCTCTCTTCTTGCCTCCATCTTCACATGCCTTTGTCTCAACCTCATACCATCTCCCTCTTTCTTCTCTCTACCAAAATATCATGTGAGCCTCCTCTTTTTGTTAATTTTGTGTTTGCAACCCACAACATGCAATAGTAACAATCTTCTCAAGTTCTTTGTTAATTAATATTGCTTGCTAGTAGGATCATGTATCATCGGCACATACATTTGGATCTAACAGAGAGAGAGAGAGAGAGAGAGATGGGGGAGTGGAAGAGGGAGAGGGGGAGAGAGAGATGTGGGTATTCATTCTTACAAGTTCTTTGTCATCTTGCATTATCATCGATCACTTGGCACAATATATAAAGCAAAAGCCTTAAAAGTAAGTACAGTTCAGTATTTTTTCAATGCATTGAGGAATTTTGAAATCTATGTACCAATGCACATTGTTTGAGCAAGATGAGAATATTCATACTTAAGTACTTATGCCCATTATTACAATAGAATATATCAATCTTGCATATTTCTTATGTAGGTAATGAAGGCATATGCATGCTTTTTTTAAGTGTAGTAGGTATGAAGACCCCTTATCGTAGTGTCTCATGACACAAATTATACCAATTTTTTAAAGCATGATGGACAAACTCAAACTCCCCATAAACTTTGACTACAAAATGAAAATGTGGGAGGTTGTAGCAAACATGACTAAGCAAACTCATAGGGAATAATCAAATGTAGCTCTTTAAAAACTTATAAGATAAAATTAAAAGAATAAAATATAAATTAAGAGTTAAATTAAAAAATCATAAATGTTATATAAGCAAAGTTTGAACATGGAATTGAACTTAGGGCTTGGATGGAACTTGTAATGATCACTCCAACTTGCTTAAAGTAGAATTTGAACTCTATTACTACCCTTAGTATGAGACCTCCATATTTAGAGTTCAATTCATACCAGTCCGACTCGGCTAAACGTCAGGTAACCAATTAACTCTCTGTATTTGAACTCTTTTAATCATGTTTGAGAGTGTTTTGCGTGCATGTGAAGGTTTGCATGTGTTTTGTATCAAATATAAGCAGTGTTTTCGGTCCTTTTAATTTGAGAACAATATTTTCAATCATTTTGGTTTGAGCTATTGATTTATGTTTTAAACTATGATATCCTACTGAACTATGTTAGCTCACTCATACTTTTGCTTCCTTTTCAGGTTGGGGAAAAGGTAAGGAGTAAGCTGAGTAGTTGATAGCATGCTCTAATTTGTATTGTAGATATATTTTGGCTATCTCAGTTTTGTAGGCTTAGCTTTTATATTGTTGTTCTCTCTATTATCAAACGTTATTATAGATAGACCTTGTATTATATATATATATATATATATTGGATGATATAATAAAATCCATTTTTGAGATATAGTTTTTTTAATTTTATATTCTATAGTGGCTCTTTAATGTGTTTAATTTGGAAGTGTAATTTTTTCATCACTTCTCCAATTGGATCTTGGAGTTAATTTTTTGTTCTTATCGTGATTGGGCATGGTATGACCTACGTGGTATTGGGTCATATTAGGTCAAGTTGTGACAAACATTTTGGTATCAGAGAATAGGTTGCAAAACAAATTGTAAATGAGCCATGGGATTGAATCTATAGAAGAGTGAGATAATTTTGGGCATTTTTTGTGCTTATTTTGTTTATTTTTCATGTGCATGTGTCACATATAGTTATGTTAAGTGCTTCTGAGATGGATTAGCTAGATCCATGTATGACTAATGGTTAGAGCTCTAATCAGACAACTCAAGTTTAAGGTACAACTCCAGTGATTAGTTTTGAGGTAGTTCCAATCTGCAGTCTCTCAAACTTTTAGGTGTTGTTGAGCCTAGAGCGGCAAAGGATTAATTAATTAGAATAGAGAAGACTCTACATGAGATACATTATCCTCCTAAGAGGAGAGTTACATTAGTTTCATTTCTATTAGATGATGAGGCAAAGCATTAGTAGCTTGGACAATAGAAGGAGAAGTTTCATGGTTGTGTAAATACCCTGATTACTAGAGAGGGGTTTATGGAGACATTCAAGGCATGATTTGTACCTCCATATCCTAGGAGACAACTACTATATGGCTTTACTGTTCAATGTTTATTGATTTATTATCACTCTATGGATTTATTGTTACTACTATGGGTTTACTAATACTGATACAATGCTGATATTATCACTGATACTGATACTAATATTACTACTAGTATACTATTACTATTGATACTACTATTATTAATTCACTATATTATTTATTTATTGACTAATTATATGATGTACTAAGCATGTGATTACGATGATACACTTGGTGTAGAATGTGATTACTGTTATTAGTTAACTATATTGATATTACTACTCACAGTTTACTACATTGATAGATTTACAATAGCCTTTACCGATGCTTTAGTTTTACTAATATAAATGATTAATTTCTGATTTTTATTGATTGATAGTATTGATATGATGATTATTTTATGGTTTCGATACATATAATAGTTTATTGGTTTTCACAATATATTGCTTTATAGTTTCCCGTACCATACTATTTTACTATTTATGTACTCCACTACTACTTTATGTGAGTTTTACTATTTATGTATTGGTTTATGATCATATAACTATTATTTATGTTGAACTGATTAGACATGCATACTAATTTTTACTGTGTTTTGGTTCAATTATAGAATTTGGTGACCTGCTCAGCTATTTAGCTTATTATATATGGTTTAAATGATTTCAGGTTATGACATATGATCAGAAGTGTGAGGTTTATCAATTTCTCCAAGTTTATTATTATTCAATTTTTTATATCTATACTTATTATGTTATACTGAATACTAAAATGATAGATCACATTTATATGATTTTTTAGTATTATATATAATTTTGAAAAAATGAATAGAGATACATATGAATGTTTTGATCAATAGAATTTACTTTCGCTAATATTTGATTTCATTACTTAAAAAGAAATTAGATAGCTCTATTGAACAGTAAAGCCATACATGCATAAGGAGGATTAAATTTTTTATGCTTTGATTTTAATTAAGGTTTAATTTTAAATTAAAAATTTTTATAGTTAATTTTAGTTAAAATTGAGGATTGAATTTAATTTTTGTTGATTAAAGGATTAATTTAGAGTTGATTGCAATTTATTTTTATTTGTTATGATTTTTATATAATTAATTCTGATTTTTAGAAAAAATCAACCCCTAAATTTGTGGTTTATTTTTTGGGTTGGTTAATTAAATTTCTTAATGATATCCTATTAAAATGTGAAAGCCAGTTTTCTTTCATGTTAAGTTTTCCTTTCAGGTTCGTCCGAACGAAGGGAAGTTCGTCCGGGATGAATAGTTGAGAGCTTGGTGACAGAGAGAATCACCCCAGGATGATCATAATTATCGTTCGTACGAAGGCAACCCGAGGGCACCGTCCAGGGACGTAAGCAGTTTTCATATGAACGATTGGAGTCCAGAAGAGATCATCCTGGGACAATTGGGGCATATCGTCCAGACGATCGAGTTTGATAAATATCTGAATACATAGGCGGATCCACATTGGCCTAAGTTCCACTAAGTTATTTTTTGGGTATCACAATTATACCATATTTATAGTTTTTGTCTAACCATTCTATAAATATGTTTTAGGAGGGGCATTTGCCCACCCTCAAAAAATTTTTTTAAAATATTTAGAGGGAATTTTTTAGAATATTTTGGATATTTTGCACATTTTGCCCCTCCTAAAACAATTTTTTTGTCCTAATTTTATCAATCCTAAGCATCTTTGCCCATCCCTTAAAATTTTTTTTTTGCCCACCCTAAAAAAAGGAGCTGGATCCGTCCCTGTCTGAATAGTGATTTTTTTGAAGAGAGAGAAGGGCAGGAGAGAGAGAAACGAAGGAAAGAAGAGGAAATTCGAATTTTGGGCATCTTCGGTCTGTTTTCGTCCTTCGTCGCAGTTGGGAGAGTTGACCGACTCGAGGTAAGACACATTATGCCTTTCTCAATTTTCAGAAATTTAATTTTTGACGAATTTTCTGTTTAAGATTTTGTTTCCGTTAGCAAAAAACGGGTATAATTTTGCACCGGTAAAATTTTTATAGCGTAACTTTTGGTATGTTGTAGAGATTGTAATTTTGCACGTTTTGAGTATTTTTTAAAAGTTTTTCACCGGGTATTTTGAAGTCTGTGGAGTTTTTATCGAATAGTAAATTATCTGGTTGTTGAAAAATATTGCTTCAATACAAGAAAAGTCTTGAAATGACGTTTTACACGATCTCTGTTAATTTTGTGATTTTCTGAAATTGTGCATTCTTGATTCATTGGCTTTCTGTCATTAGTCGCTATACAAAAATGTGAAATTTTGATATGTGTGTTTTTATTCGCGTTTTGGCATTTTAATTAATTATATAATTTAATTAAATTTTAATATAAAATTCATATAAATTATTTTGGAGCTCCAAAAATTGTAAATTTTTTTCATAAAATAGTCAATTTTATTTAGAAAATTTTGGTTAAATTGGTTTGCAAAATGAACACATGATGGTCTCAAAACTTCTACTTGTACCGATATATATATGTCGATTTCTTAAAGATTTACACCAATATCAAAAAAATATATGAAAAACTAGTATAATCAAAACATTGCAATGTATATGTTATGTCAAAGGCGATTTGTGATTTGAACTTATAATAACTCTTGAAAAAAAAATTGATTAGATCAAATTTTGGTTATTGAAGTGTGGTGGTCGAGTTTTGGAAGCCATGGAGGTGCATGGAGGAAAGAACCAAAGCAAGGCCATGCCTTCATGTAGTTAGTCCATGACCTCTTTGAGTCATTTGTAAAAACTTTTTTGCTATAGTTAGAGAATTGAAGAATAATTAACTCAAAATTAAGCTAAATTTAGAAGCTCTTATTGACTTTGTCTAGAAAAGGATAAAAGCGAAATTTTCACCCAACTTAGCCCTGACAATGAAACCATTAGCAATGCGATGACTATTGAGAGTGTTACCATAGAGACCTAACACAGTAGTACTTATTCAGATTGCAAATGTATTGGATGAATACTGTTGAGCTTGTAAACAAAAAAGGATACATAAGGAGATTAATTATTAAATAAATATAATGCAGGGAAGTGAAATATAAGAAGAGACCTTAATGGAATTGACTATAAGCATGTTGAATTTGACTATAAGTATGCTGAATTTGACTGTAAGCATGCAGGGAAGTGAAATATAAGAAGAGACCTCTATTATATGATTCATATCGCTTCTCCTCATCATAAAATATTTATTCAATATTTAAGCACCTTGATGATACTAGATTTGAGTGATTTTGTGTTCGCTCGAATCTTCTCATCGAACCGTTCAATTTGAGAATTTGGAAATTATTTGTCTATCTAATTAGTGTTTGAAGTTTTCAATTATATTTTAAGTGTTTGAAGTTTTCAATTATATTTTAAGTGTTTGAGTTGAGCTCATTTAGATTTGGATTGGATCACTTTTAGTTTAGTTGGATTTGCCTTATTCAGACGTCCAAATCAACTTTAAATTTGATGAGATTGAAGTTAACGTTATCCTAAATTTAACTTTCAAAAGTTCCCCATTTAAAATTCTAGCAGGACATTATAAGTAATTTTAATAGGATATCCAATATAATTTTAATAAAATTTCAAGAAAGAACAAGCATCAGCAGAAAAATCCTGACATAAGGAAGATAACACGCAAATTCTAAGTTGACCAATCGACATCAATATGGAGTTATCAGCTCTCAGTCCAAGCTCCGCCCAATGGCTCTTTTCCACGAACCCTAAACCTACCACTGATCCTCGGATCCTAATGAAAAGATATAGTGGATGGAGAATCCAAGCTTCCATGGCGGATTCGGGGGAGTCTTTTCAGAAGCACACAAAAATAGTCACATTCCTCGGTAAGGGAGGCTCTGGCAAGAGCACTGCCGCTGTTCTCGCGGCCAAGGTATCATCTCGTGGTGCTTTTTCTTCTTTCTGTTGGTTCACGTTTTATCTATATTCTTTATGCCCTTTCACGAGCTACATCTAATCTGATTTAGTTCTCTTCTTTTTCATTTAAACATTAATTAATACTTGATAAACTAATCTATCCTTTTGTCATTATAAGAGGTTTAAAAATATATGCTCGTTACTGTGGTACTTCTCACTACATTGGCTCTGTACTTGTTTAAAATATATGCTTGTTTAAAAATATATGCCCTTTCACGAGCTACATCCGGACTCCAATATGTGCAGCCTTGTAGCGGCCTGACGACCCGACGATCCGACTCCATGAAATTTTAGGATATTGGCGGAGTACTTTCGCCAACTGAGACAAGATTTCTACTCAGAATAAAGTTGAGAAAGAAAAGATAGAAAGAAAATAGAGAAAGAGAAAGTGGCTATGAAGATGAAAACCAATAAACCTTTATTGGGAGTTAAAGAAGTTTCTGAGTTTGCCAATTTCGTCTAAATTGAGACCTGTTGATTCGATATGACAAGCCTATCCTTTTGGGTGACCTTTATTTATACCATAACTTAGGTGCTTTTCGTGTAGATTTCAATATTATTTTTAATGTTTTATTTCTTCTTATAGTAATTGCATCATAGAATTAAAGAATGACAAAAACATTCTTTAAGGGTCAGTAGCAATAAGTCCCTTATGCTGAGATTCGGTGATTACATGATAGATTTTTAGGAGATCGAAGCATTAAGCATTACTGTCCTTTCTTCTTCGACTTGTATACAACAACAACAACAACATCAAGCCTTTATCCCACTACGTATGGTAGACTACATGAATCATTTTTCTTCATTGTGTCATGTTAAGAGTCAAATTCTTATTTAAATCTAATAAATAAAGGTCATTTCTAATATTTTATAACCAAGTTTTTTTAGCTCTATCTTAGGGCTGCAAACGAACCGACCCAAGCCGAGTATGTGAGTGTTCATGTTTGAGTTCGTTTATCATTAGCTTGTTCAAGTTTAGTTCGTGTTTGATTCGAGCTTTATTGTTTGTGTTCATGTTTGATTCATTTAATTTAAGGGTATTCATGTTTGGTTCGTGTTCGGTTCATGTTCAGTTAGTTTAATGCTTATCGAGCTTTAAACAAACAAGCCTTAACTAGCTATGTTCGTGAACAAATTTAACAAACAATCTATTGAACAAACAAATATTAAATTTGTTCATGAACATCTTAAACAAACAATCTAACAAACACGGATAAATGTGAAATGTCTTTTGTTCAGAAAATTAAATTTATAGTAAAAGCAATTGTCTATTTAAAATAAAAATATGATTAATCTATATGAATATATTCTTAAATGAAGCTTACCTGTTGCATTTCTCTCCATTCGAGCTTTTTAGCGAGCTTAATGTCGAGCTTGTTCACGAACTTCAAATGATGTTGTTCGTGAACATAAATGAACCGAACACATTAGTGTTCAAGCTTGTTTATTTAAGGATCGAGTATTTAAAATGTTGTTCAAGTTTGTTTGTTTAGTTAGTTAAACGATCACAAACGAGCTTTACTCGAACCGAGCATCGAGTAGCTCGTCGAATACTTGGTTCGCTTGCAGTCCTAGTCTATCTCTACCTTTCTTAACATATGCCAAATCTAATACATCTACTCTCTTAACTGGGTCCTCGGAAGGCTAACGTTTTATGTGACCAAACCATCTAAGACAAATCTCTCTAATGTGATTTGCCATTGGAGCTACTCCAATCTTTTCCTATATATACTTGTTTCACATTCTATCTTTAAGAGTGAAGCCAGTCATCCACCTGCATCCTCATCTCTGCAACACTTAACTTAATATTCTTCTTCGACTTGTATACAACAATAACAACAACAAGCCTTTATCCCACTATGTGAGGCCGGCCATAGGCGTGGGGGGGGGGGGCCCTTTTTTTTTTTTTTTTGAGGGGCCTTATTTTTTTTTTCTTGACTATGTGTCATATAAAACCTAAAGCAAATTTTTTTATAAGAAAAGTAAGAGATTGAGGCATAATTATTCATTCACCATTTTTACTACATGCAGTATATTCATAAAAAAATAGTTACAGAATTTATTGATTTTTTTCGTCAAAATGGATCTTAAAAGTATTGTATTTAATTTGAGATATGTGTAATATACATTTTAATTGAATTTTTTATGTTTTGCACTCATTTTAAAGCAATTTACATAAAAAAATAAGCATTATTTTTATAAAAAATAAGACCTAACAATTCCCTAATTTAACATGTAAGAATATGCTTTAGACTTTGTTCGGAATAGTAATCATACTAATTTTCACAATAACTTTCTTAGAAAATTTTTTACTCTGGCAACAATATCATATTACATGCCCATACGGAGATTGCTCCCAAATGGCTTTCTTTCCCTCGACCCAAACTATCTGCTTCGTTTTCCCCTTTGCTCCTCTATCGCAACTCACAATCTCGAACACGGCTTTCATTTTTCCTTTCGGTCCTCTCTCGCCATGTTATTTGCATTCTTAATTTTGATCTTATAGTTCCTCTTGGCTCTAGTAATGAGACGACAAACGGAACTATATTAATATATTCTCAAATTCCAGATGAGATGGCATACTGTCAGAAAATTGACCATCGGTGACCGTCGGAAAATTCTATTAGTAACGGGTGATTTTTCTGTAGTGTTTAATTTAGGCCCCCCGAATAAACTTTCTGGCTCCGCCACTGGAGCCAACTACATGAATCTTCTTCGACTTGTGTGAGAGAAAAAAAATCTCATGTAATGATGTTAGATTTACTCTGTTTAAGATTTTGACATGAATTTGATCGAAGTTTTTATTGAGTCCTTCAAAGAATTAAAATACCTTTCTCTTTCTTGAAAATTTCCGCATCATCACAGCATATTATCTTGAGATCTCGATAATAATACAATTCAAAATAATAAACCTTTACTATATTAAAGTATTCAATAACTTGAATGGTACTTTGCCTGGTTGTTGAAATCCTAATTTTGATCTCTTATATGATGGTAACATCCTTCACTTTTGAGTACATTTGTTTGATGGTGTTCCAAACTTTTTTTGGTTGAGAGGAATATATGTGACCTATTGATATGAAGTACCATGATATTTTATGACCATATCATGATCATGAAATCTGTTTCAACTTAAAGTATAAATTTTAGGTCTTTCGCCTCTGAAGGAAAATTCTTAAGATGATGGATCTTTCTCTTTTCTTTTAGAAAGACGTTCACAATTTAAGACTATTCAGATTTCTCTCATTCAAGACTATTCAGATTTCTCTCATTCATGTGATGGGAGGTTTGTAGCCCTTGAATCTCTCCTTTAGTCTGATTTTTATTATTCATGATGGTTGACTTCTTGGAATGAAAGTTAAAGAAACCAACTATAATGAAGAGAATGACGCATCTTGACAATTAGGGAGAAAAAAGAATATAGGTTGGAACACAAAAACCTTAGTCTTGCTCTGATACCATTTAAAAAAAGTAGAAAAAGTTACTTTCAATTTTATTTCTTAATTCTATACAAAGTGTATAAGTATTTATTGATTTCTTCAAAAAACTTATAATGGAAATAAATCAAAACAATTTAAAACAAAGGAAAATCATCCCCAAGGGGGGTCGACTGCTAGAATATGAAGATGTGACACACATATTGCAATCTAAGGATCATGAGAGGATCGATCCAACTGTTAGAACCCATAATCTGCATGCTCAAAGATTCCTATCAAGATTAATTGATTTGTGGGTCCCATGATCCTTCAACATATACTTTATCTATTACAACACATTATGTTTGAGCTTGATTCATGTCACTTATATGAAGTTTTTTCCTTGTATTTAATCATATTTTTTCAGCTTTAATCGTGATACACAGCCTTGGAATGATTCATTATATTTCGCTTTTGGATTGTAAGTTGTTTGCTAGGGAAGGACTGCAAACTTGTTTGGTAATTCATTCACAAGATATTACGATTAAGCAGCTGATGGGTTGCACAATCGGAAATTCTCCTACCATGATTTCTGAGAATCTATATGCTGTTCAATTGCAAACCAGTAAGGTAATATGATATTTTCTATATGTTTTAACTGGTCAGCATAGTTGATATTATGCATGAAATAGTAGATGGTGATTATCAGGAATTTTTTTCTTCTAAAAACTGCAGATGCTTCTTGAACCTCTTGATCGGGTGAAGAAGGTAGATGTTCGTATGAATTTAACTCAAGGAATTCTTGAAGGGGTGGGTATGCAAGCATTGGATTTATGTTAGTCACGCAAAGATTTTTCTAGCTTCCTCATTTAGGCTTTGTTTTTGAAGATGGTTAAGGGTGAAGAAAGTGAAGATAAGTAGAGGTTTTTGAAGTTTTAGTTGACTGCGCTTGTGTATTTCAATGTCTTTTATGTCCTTTTGCCGTCCTTACCTAGCAAAACTTCAAACATGAATTGATTCGTCCATGTAATAGGTAGTAGGAGAAGAACTTGGTGTCCTTCCAGGGATGGATTCTATTTTTTCATCATTAGCACTTCTTAAATATGGAAATGTTCTTGGAAGTGGGAGGAATTACTCAAAGAAAAAGTTTGATATTGTTATATACGATGGTAGCAGTTCTGAGGATACATTGCGATTGGTTGGTGCAACTGAAAGAGTAAGGTAGGGTTTAATGTTTGTGGGAACCATGCATGGAACCTTCTTAGCTTAAGGATATTTTGACGTTGCAGATGTTATCTAAAATATATTCGGAACCTGGCTGAGAAGACAGACATTGGAAGACTGACTGCACCCTCGTTCTTGAGGCTATTCTATGAATCCGCTATGCCTAATTCAGGGTCTGTTGAAGGCAAAACAAGTGCTGATATATGGAATGGGATTGAACAAATCCTAGAGGTCTATTTTTGTGTATAGTTCTTTTTTTTTTGGATGAATACATATTCTTTTGTTAAGCTTTAGAATTAATGTTTGAATAGGACTAAATAATGCAGGAAGCTTCTGCATATTTTTGTGACTCTTCAAGGTTTAGATGCTACCTTTTAATGGACCCAATCAGGCCGTTGTCAGTCATATCTGCTTTACGCTATTGGGGTTGTGCAATACAAGCTGGGACCAAAATTTATGGTGCATTTGGCTTTGCTCAAAAGTTTTCCTCTGCCACGCAGGAAACCACGGAGAAAATATCTCCTTTGTGTTTTGCACTGCTTCCATATATTTCCTCGTATTCCTCTTTAGATTGGGATGTAACCCTCAAATCTTTCAGGAAAGATGCAAGCCACCTACTTCTTGGCAGTACTATTTCTCTTCCTTCATCAGTTTTATTTGATCGCAAACAAAAGTCTGTTACCCTTTTCCTTCCTGGCTTCGACAAGTCTGATATCAATTTGTACCAGGTAAACTTTTCGCTCTTTAGTGTTACTTTTTGACTGATTAAAAGCACCAATTAAATTGTCCTATTACACGATTGATTTGCCATGTACTGTTCTTTAAAGCAATTTATAAGCAAAATATTTTCTCTTTTTTTCATCATTTTGTAGTTTCTCCTCCTAGACTTAATGGTATAATGTGTTTGTTGATTAATGTCATTTTCTGAGGAGAAAGTTGCTGTGATATGAGATACTTAAGCTTCATTTGAGACAACTTTTTTACAGCTTAAAACAGCTTTTTAATTAAAAAAATTAAAATTTTTATACTAGAAAGCTAATTTAAGAAGCATTAAAAAAACTGTTCCAAACTAACCCTTAGTATATTAGTGATGTAGAACGAAAAGGAGGGTTTGCTAAGGAGAGTATCCCCTCTCCAAAAATCTGATAGCAAGCCTAGGTGAGGCCCAAACTTCCTCTCCTATATTCTGAAAACAATTTCAGAATTCTCAACAAAGAATTCTAAGAGGAGTTCTCAGATTTCTAACAAAAAAACCTGAGACAAATTCTCAACTTTTAGTAGACTAGGTTGTGGAGAAAACTGAGAAAAAATTTGCCAAGCTACAGGTTCTGCACTAGAAAATTTTGTCTAGAGCCAGTAGGAAAGAGGGGGGGGGGGGTGAGAGAGAGCTAGGCCAACGGGATTTGAATCAAGGAAAATATTTTAGAAGAATTTATTCCAGCAAGGAGCCACGGGCTCATATTTCCTAATTCTCATATCTAGTATTAGGAAATAAAATTAGAGCCTAGGTATGAAGGAAAATTCGGCTCATTAGGAATTAAATGCCATGAATTCCACTTAACTTCAGCCTAGCCGAAATTATTTCCTAATCTAATCTCTCACTTAGGAAATAATTTGAAATCCCCATAATTTTCCCTGAGCCGAATTTTCCTTCATACCTAGGCTCTAATTTTATTTCCTAATACTAGATATGAGAATTAGGAAATATGAGCCCGTGGCTCCTTGCTGGAATAAATTCTTCTAAAATATTTTCCTTGATTCAAATCCCGCTGGCCTAGCTCTCTCTCACCGCCCCCCTCTTTCCTATTGGCTCTAGACAAAATTTTCTAGTGCAGAACCTGTAGCTTGGCATTTAGGCTGACAATTTTTTCTCAATTTTCTCCACAACCTAGTCTACTAAAAGCTGAGAATTTATCTCAGGTTTTTTTGTTAGAAATATGAGAACTCCTCTTAGAATTCTTTGTTGAAAATTCTGAAATTGTTTTTAGAATATAGGAGAGGAAGTTTGGGCCTCACCTAGGCTTGCTGTCAGATTTTTGGAGAGGGGATCCTCTCCTTAGAAAATCCTCCTTTTCGTTCTACATCAATTAGTTTACGAAGCATTAAGGTACTCCATTAGGCAGTGCTTTCAATAAGCATATTATTGTTAACAAATATATTTTTGAAGCATAATTAGCTTGAAAATTAATTGCCACCAATCATTAATGAGACATTAGCGCAAGCTAAATTACAGATTTGTAGAGATCTTAAATGGAGAAATAGCATATAGGAGGATTAAAAAAAAATGCTATCCATTCTGCATTGACTCCTGGGATCTCTCATTGAATGTCAAATATATGCGCAAAATAGTATTGATATATTATGCAACACTCAATGCAATAAGTGCGTATTAAATAAGTTAACATCAAGTAGTTGGAATAAGGCTAATGATGAGGAGGATATAAATTAAAAATATTGTATTTAGTGACCATGAAAAAAGGATATTACAATGATTCTAATAAAGCCTTCATTCATTTTTAAGTTCTACTTTCCCGTGAAAAGTTAAAACTTTTAGCTTATAATCCACTTTGTTGCTTGAATTGTTATCACTATGATAAAACCCTCAGGTTTCGCATGTGGAATGGAGAACGCTTATTAAATTGAGTTGAATGGACAATCCAATGACGTTTTATTAGGACCAGCAAGCGGTATATTGTATGGGTGCAACACTATAGGTGTGTTTCCAGCAAGAATTTCATTTTAATGGCGCAAAACTTCTGATTTTGGATAAGCATTGTCTAATCTTTGAATGATCCAACAACTAGAATGTCAAGCCTTGAAGGTAGAAAAATGATTGCAGTTTCCTGGGCATAGGTGAATTTGCACAGCATAAAAAAACGTAAACCAAATCATGATGGAAACGAATGCTTCGATGCCTATTTTAATCGGTAATTATAGATATAAAGATTTGGGAAATACTGAAAAACAAAAATATTATACTTTCTGACCACAGATTATTGGACTAAAGCTAAGGATCTGGATCAATGATAAGAAATAAGAAAAATATATAATTCTTCTTACATTTTTAAGTTCATAACAATTCCAATAATATTCATGATGAAATTCATCACATTCCACTATTAATATGAAGCATTCTGGATATTCCATTTATAAGATATATACAACGTACAGAGCAACTACAACTCCAAAATATTTTCATAACAAACATCCTACATCACTCAGATCATGATCTATCTTTGACCGCTATACAATAAACACGAGTTTTAATTCTCATTTAAATCTAATAAAGAAATGTCATTTCTAATATTTTTTAACCAAGTCTTTTTAGGTCTACCTCCACCTTTCTTAACATAAGCCAAATCTAATACATTTACACTTCTAATCGGGTCATCGAAAGACCATCATTTTATGTGACCAAACTTTCTCTAATATTTTCTTTCACTTAAAGCCACTCATCCACTTGAACATCCTCATCTCTGCAACACTTAACTTAATTTTATGCTTCTCTTTTAATGGCCAATATTCTGCACCATAAAGCATTGCAGGTCTCATAACCATCTTATAGAATTTTCCCTTAAGTTTGAGGGGGACTTTTCTATCCACAACAAGCCCGATACATTCTTCCACTTCAACCATCCAACTTCAATTCTAATAATAATGTACCCATCTAGTTCACCATAACTATGAGAAATAGACTCAAGATTTTTGAAACATGTACTCTTCTTAATGACTTGATCGTCCAAAGTCACAATCCGCCACTAGATCTATTACTACTAAAATTACATTCCATATATTCGATTTTAGATATACTCAAACAAAAACATTTAGACTCTGAGGTTGACCTCCATAATTTAAGTTTACCTTTAACTCCCTCTCTAGTCTTATCAACAAGAAGTATATATGTTGTAACTCGGGCTTTCGAGTTTAAGATTTTGATGATAATAAATATTATTGATTACCTCTTCATTTCTCCTAGTATTTGTAGTGCATATTGGTTTTATGTGTTTTGTTTATTTGTTTTGTATGTTTGTTTATCTGTTTTGTGTATTTAATTTTTATTATATTTTATGCAGAATTTCATGTTTTCATTTTTTATTATGTTGTTATTTTCTTCCACATTTATTTTAATTTTAAGTGTTATTTTATCCATTCTTTTTGATAATGTCAAAGGGAAAAAATGTATTGTGGTTGGTTGTATTTATGTTTTATTTTTTTTTTAATTTTATGTTATTTAGCTTTAAAATTTATGTATTAAAAAAATGCTTTCCCCTATTTTTAATGTAATTCTTTTAGTGGGTGAGAGTTTACGAGAAAATCTTTTTAGTTTGCAAATTCAACCAATATTATTTACCATCATCAAAAAGGGGGAGATTGTTGTAACTAGGGCTTCCGAGTTTATGATTTTGATGATAACAAATATTATTGATTACCATTTTATTTCTTCTAGTATTTGTAGTGCATATTTGTTTCTGTGTTGACTAATATTTCAGGTACACAATGCACCATTCTTTGAAGATTCATGGCTCAAGATTGGGTAGAATATGTTATGTTAAATGAGTCTATAATTTTCATTTTTTTATTTTTTTAATTTCTTGAGTCAAGTCCTGTAATGATGTATGTTAGCTTGGTGATCGTGCATACACACACAGGGGGAGTAAAAATGATTTAAAATATTTTAATTTTTCTATACATTGTACTGTACGATATAGATCGTACTGTACGATCTGGTGTTACAAAAATTAATTAAAATATTTTATTTTTTTTTGAAAAATATTTTTGAAATATAACTAATCATACAGTACGAACACCACATCATACTGAACGATTTGTTATAGTTAAAAAGCTTGCATTAGACAAAAAATTGAATTTGAAAAGTTGTTCTAATTGTACTGACGAATTTGATCATATTGTACGATGTTTAAAACTTTGCCTAATTTAATCCCGTGATTAGTCAATCGAATCTGCTTAATTTTGATATTCTGATCATACTGTACGAACTGGATTGTACAGTACGATCAACAGAGACGATTTTGGTTGTCTCATGATTTGTCCTGGACGAACTGCGTTTCAGTTGAACTAATTGTAATGTACGATTGGTCATTCGTATTAATGATCGTACAACACCAATATGCAAAATGAATTGTTTGTATTGATGTTCGTTCTGATGATCGTACAGTACGAACAGACAAATTGAATTGTTCGTACAATACTAACGGGTGATCGTACAGTACTAACATGTCAAATTCTGCACATCGCACTGGACGATTCTGAGATTATACTGTACGATCTTTGATGGCTATATTCATTTTTTAGGGTTTTTTTAAGTCCTCTATTTAAGCTTTCTTATAAGACTTTGTAAGTGTCTTTGACAGTCATTATATCTTCGTTCTTCTAGATAAAACTTGAAGAGATAACTTGAAAGGAAGAGTGGAAAGGGTGGAGTTTAAGAGGGAAGATCCTTGGAGGAGGATTCGAAGGAGTGTGGAGGGGATTTCACACGGTTGCTCTGGCAAGCTTGCACTTTAGTACCATCGGATTCAATGTTTGTCTTGAGGGAAGTTTTGGGAAGAAAAAGATCTCTTTGGTGTCAAAAGACCTACTTCGCTGCACCGGGGAAGGTGGAAGTGATTTTGTAAGAGCTTCTCCGCCTAGCTGTGGGGGCTAAAGGAGAATCACTAAAAGTTTAGTGCAATACTCGGAGGGTTCCTCCGGGGAGTGGACGTATGCCAAGGTTTGATTGAACCACTATAAATTTGTTGCGTTCTTTTTTATTTCATTTTCAAAAGTTTATTTTTCTGCATTTTATTTTTTATTATAACTGCTTGGTTGAAAATCTGTGATTGATATTATGTTGTATTGATTAGATTATAATCACCATATTTATAACTTTTGATAAGTGTACTAGCTTTCACATCAAGTGATAATATTGCTTCCGTATTAGTATGACTTAGGGATAATTCATTGAGGTCTAAGAACCTCCAAGAACTTTCAATATCATCAGCAAAAAACATGCACTGGGGTACATCCTCTTGCAAATGTTTAATGAGAATATCCATTACTAAAACGAAAAGATATGAGCTTAAAGTTGATCCTTGATGTAATCCAACGGAAATAGGAAAATACTTGATCAAACCACCTTGTGGTTGAACATAAGTAACAAATCCTGCATACATATCCTTAATGATTTGAATATAAGTATTATTAACCCCTTTCTTTTCTAGAACTCTCCATAACACTTTTCTTGGAACTTTATCATATTCTTTCTCTAATTCAATAAATATCATATGTAGATCTTCTTTATTATTTCTATACTTCTCCATCAAATCTCTCAATAAATGTATAGCTTCCATAGCAGACCTACCCGACTTGAAGCCAAATTAATTTTGAGAAACATTAGTATCACGCCGTAACTTATGCTCCATAACTTTCTCCCATAGTTTTAAAGTATGCCAAATTACCTTAATTCCTCTATAATTCACACAATTTTGTGCATCACCTTTATTCTAAATACCCTAAACCCTAATATTTTTAAATACTTATATAATTTTAATTTCTAAATAATATAATAATAAATTTTAGGTTATTAATTATCGATTTATTAGCTGTAGCCGAACAAACCCTCACGTAGTCGAAGCCCCGAAGCCTCATGAACGCACCTGATTCCATGTTTCCGCACGAAATTCTACCTTCGTTCACGTGATTTCGGCTGTCGTTCGTCCCTCGTATTCCTTCCTTCCACTGCTCCTTGTTCGTCCAGGTGATTACGGTCGTCTTTATTCGTCCGTTGCTTATGGAACTAAGAGATCCTGACGTCTCCTTTGATAGTCGACTCATCTGATTCCTCCGAAGTCAAGGGTCGTTGTTAGATTACAATCTTCTTCTTCGTCCTTTGGTCAATCGATTTTGATCAACTTGTATTTTTTTTATTTATATTATAAGCTTAGGGAAAATGCATCTACTACAAGCAGATCTTAGGGAAAATGTTAAGTAGAAGAAACAAAGTCTGAGACTAAAAATGAAGGAAAATATCTGTGTGGGCAAGGTATATTTTTCAATTTTATAACTTTTATTAGCAGCAACTTGTATGTATTTTCTTGATCGTCTCAATATACTTAAAATGCAAAGTTATCAAAGTTCCTCTATCAATCCTAATAATATCTTCATGATATATCAAGCAAGTTTGAAGAGTCATGAGCTTCATTAAAATGCCTACCTATATAGTAATATTTACTTTATTTTATATGCTTATTATTCTGTTTTATTTTACGTCGTGTTCAAAATGGCACGCGCCGTGCGCTATGCGTCATGATTTCACGGAGAACTCTGCGCCGTGATGAGCCATTCACCGTTGACAAGTATGGGATATGACAAGCTCATCAATAACCTTTTTTTTATTAGTAGATAAATTATATTAAAGCTAGATAAATCCAAATGGATCTGAAAGAATAAGAGAGAGAGAGAGTTTAATCTCTCTTCTTCCTTTAGCGGATGAAAAAGCTTTGAATAGATAGCTTTACAAAACACGTCTCTCTCTTCAATTAGATGGTTTTGCATTTTTTATGAAGCCCCTGGGATTTGATTTCTCTTATGCTCCATGAGTCCAGTTTGACTTTTAGGCATGTCACGTCTTAATTGGATCTAGCTTATGCTTGAGTTTAGGCTTGCAATTTGACCAGATCAATTTATGCTTGAACCTCCAAGATCACCTATGGATGAATGCCATGCCTTGAAGTCCCATCAATGCAACTTTGGGAGTTCTTTAGAGGGATTAGTGCCTCTGGCTTTGTTCCTACATTTGCTAGAGGTTTTTTTCCACTTTTTAGCATCACTTTTGTTAGCCTGTTTTAGTTTATGGACTCTCGTTTCCTTTACCGGAGCATCATAGATTGTACCAGAAAAACTGCAGTGGATTCAAATAACGGTCTTTTTACCCTGAACACAAAAGAGGTAGAGCTTTTGCTATCACTTGTGTTTTTACTATTTATATCTAACTCGCTATTTGCATTCTTTGCTTTGATTACTATCATTCACTGGTTTATAACTGATACATTTTCTTTAATGGCATGAATTATTTGAGCCACTTTCCTATCTCGTGGTTTGTGAAAGATTGATTAATTTGGACGCTGGGATATATATAATATATGGTGGTTGGTTTTATCTAGTATCAAGCTCTGCTTTCTTTGTTTTATTCCATATACATCTTCTTAATACAGTATAGAGGGGGCACGGAACTTCTGATAGAAGCAGGGGATCAAAGACGCATCATCCAATTGCCTCTAGCTATGCAAGGAAAGGTTGCAAGTGCTAAGTTCATTGAAAGAAATCTTGTGGTTACGCTGAGGTAGGTAATATTCCTTGTCAATGTTTTGTAAAATATCCAAATTGCAATTCTGAGGATTGCCACTCGCTATGTTTGATCAATCCTATTAATTGATAAGCTTCTTATTATCGGGTCTACGCTCAGGAGGGAAATGCTAGAATCCGATCCCATCGGGTATATACTGAGGAAAAAATTGTGTTGATATTCAAATTTACTCCATAACGATTTTCTAGTGATTGATTTTATTTTGAAATGAGTATAATAAATGCTACAACTTATATGTTTCACTTATCTCAAAAACAAACAGGGAAGCAATTTTAAAACTCATCTTGATCCAAATTTTTTTTCTTTTTTACTATGAGCGAGGCAGTCAGTGCGTGATAGTGTTCTAGGCCTCCAAATCATGGGTGTGGTTTTGACTTAAATTTGACTAGATTGTTGATTTTTGACTTTGACTGATTTTTGAAGGTTTAATATTTTTGATAAATTTTAGATTTTATTGAGTTGAATGCCTTTAAGTTTGATCAATTTGAAATTTTTTGAAATTAGTTATGATTTTTTAAAGTTTGAGTATTTATTGAATTATTTAATTGATTTAATTATGTGGGCCTTTTATGATTTGAAATCAAATAAATTCCAAACTCCTTGATATCACCGCCAAAGGTCAGGAATGACCTAATGAGAGATTCCCAAGTGTTTAGGAATTTTTTGAAAATTTTAATTATTTTTAATTAATTAAATTAATTAAATATTGATTTTCTAATTAAAATTAAATTAAGCTTAAATTTGATGTCAAATCAAAGGGGTTTTAATTTTCTTAAGTTAAGGTTTGAATTTTGGTCAATTTGAGGTATAATATGTATTTTGTTAGATTTAAATTTTATTTATTAGATTTTTTTGAAGTTTTTTATTTTTTATTTTTTTATTTATTTTTATTTATTTTTTTTAAGATTTTTTTGAAGTTTAAATGCTTAATTAAGGGTTTAAATTTAAGTTAATAAATTAAGCGGCTTAATGATTTTTAAAGTTGTTGGAAATTTTTCCATGGGCCGGAGATGGAATTTTATGTCAATAGGAGGTGTATTATATTTTCTAGAATTATTCTATGTTTTTAAGACGTGTCATTAGTTATTGTCCTTAAGGATAAGTGCATATTTGTTAAGTGGGTTTAAATCAATGTCACTAACCCTTAATAAAGACATATACAAACATATACAATCACAATCAAGTCTTTAAAATTAGAGCCTAGGATAAGTGCATATTTGTGCATCTTATACATGTAATATATTCAATTAATTGGAAGATTAATCAATGAGTAATTAGTAAAATAATTACTCATTGCTTAATCATCACTCCCCATCAAATCTGTTCAAGCAAGCTCAACATATGCTTAAAATTTTAAAACTCTCAGTCAAAGCTCTCAAAATTTACAATATATAATTTTAAAATCAATTATATATATGGAACATAGCTCGAACTTAAATTTTTTAAAGAAAATTAAGATATTATTAAAAATTAATTTAAAAATAAAAATTAAAATAAATAAAAAATATCAAAATATTTAAAATAAATTAATTCAATATAAAATAAAACTTTTTAAAATTGAAAAAAAATTGTACTTATTTTAAATAAATAATAATTTTAAATATTAAATATCTCATATTTTAAATAATTTAAAAGTTATATTTAATTTTAAATTAATCTTAATTTTAAATTAAAGAAAATTAAATTCTAAAATTTTAATATAAAATATGTATTTTTTGGATTTAAAAATATTAATTAAAAATCATTTTAAATGAAACGATGGTGTAGCGACAGGGTGTTGGATACATTTTAGTGCTTGATTGGGCGATGCAAACCTCGGCGGCGGTGACAATCATTTGCACTAATTACGCCGCCGTGTAATCATTGCAATGGTGGCGCGGGTCGAATCTGTGGCGTCTTATCCACGTCTGCACGCATAAAGGCCATCTGATCCTTCACAGTTTGAAATAGACGGTCTGTCGAATGATGAGATAAAAGGTCTTATCAGCAGTCAAATTCGAACCGTCTAATCTTTTGTAATGAGAGGGTTACGTAAACCAAACCCTAAAATGGGTTTTTGAGCTCATTCTCATGATGGGGTGAACCATTTGTCTTGAAATTTAAAAAATGTATCAAGCTAATGAACAAAAACGTTGGGGAGTATTTTTGACGGTTTGAAAATCACTTAATAGAAAGTTAATTAGTCCTAAGTGATGTAACCTAGGTCTAAGGGTTTTGAGAGATTTAACTGTTGGATTTTGAATTTTTTGATCTCTTTGAGCTTGTTGATTATGGTGTACTATACCTACACTTATACTATACATATATTATAATATATTATACCATACTTATATTATATTATGATATACTAAAATTATATTACCACTATACTATACTAGAACAATATTATACTATTCAAATATTTTAATATACTATGTTATAACTGTATTATATTATACTACCACTACATTATACTATAATATGCTCTCTCTAGTTTTTTGTTTAGAGAGATAAGCTATGGTTTTTTTAGGGTTTTGACGCGTTTTGGTTTTTCTTCCCGGCCGCCTGGCCGAGATGGCTGCCTCTTCTCTAGATTCCCCCCCTTCCAGGTTCTTCTTCCTTGCTTGGGGCTGCTCCTCCTCCCCCTCCTACTATGTCTTATGCTAACAATCTCACAGCCCCTCCTTCGTCTCGGGAGGAGTGGCCGATGTCTTTTGTTAACCCTACCAAAAAGCTTTCTTTTGCATCTTCCGAACTTACAGAAGGCAAAAGCCTGTGGGATCTTTCTCTGGTGGGATATTCTCTTGGCCAGAGGCCTTATTATGAAAGACTTCTGGGGGCCATGAACAAAGCTTGGAAACTTAAGGGCTCATTCTTGCTTCTCTCCCTGGCGGGCGACTTTTTCTTGCTGAAGTTCACTTCCATTGAAGACTATGATATGATCTGGTCTGGAGGCCCCTGGTTTCTTCTCGGTAAACCGTTCTTCCTTCAGAAGTGGTCTCCGAAGTTTCAGCCCAGGCGGGATGAAACTGCTGCGATTCCTCTATGGGTCAAAATTCTCAACCTGCCACTTGATCTCTGGACCCCCTCAGGTATCTCTAAGATAGCAAGCTACATTGGTATCCCGTTATATGTTGATTCTCTGAATGCTAAGAGAACGAGGCTTACTTTTGCGCGTATTTGTGTGCAAGTTGATAAGTCGTCTGAATTACCGGATGAAATACCGTTAGAGATTGATGGTGAGGATCTCACGCTCAAAGTGGTTTATGACTGGAAGCCCTCTAAATGTGAAGGGTGTGGCTCCCCCATTCACTCCTTCGCCCTCTGTCCATCTAATCCTAATCCGAAACCTGCTCTTCCACCTAAATCGGTTCTTCGTGGTAGAAGTAAAAGCCGGGCTCCCACTGCCAGGGAGCTTCGAGGCCATCTGAAAACTTACAAGATATTCCTTCCACCTCCATTATCCCTGTCCAGTGTCCCTATTCTTGTTCCTCCACCTGTAGCTGCTTCTTCCACGCCTATGCAGGTACTTCCTCCTTCTAAACCAACTCCTGCTAAACCTCTATCTCTTTCTCTTGACAAGGAATCCCCCCTTCTCAACCTCAATTTGCCTCAGGAAGAAGCCTCTTCTTCAGAGCAACCTTTCTCTCACTTGTTGTTGCAACCTTCACAAGTTATTCTAGCCAACAGTTTTGCTGCTCTGCCAGTGGAGGCCACTGACAATCCTGTTGAGGATAACATTGAAGTGGAATGCTCTTCCACTTTCAAGACTCATGGGGATGACCCCCCTTTTTCCTCTCTCTCTAAAGCTTCCCCCTCTTCCTCTAAACCTCCTCCTACAAAAAATGATTCCCCGACCAATAAACCTAAGCCAAAAACGGCCAAGAAGGCCAAAAAACCTAAGTGATCCATGTCTTTGCCTGCTATAGCTACTTGGAACGTTAGGGGTTTCAACAACCCTGTTAAGGCCAAGTATTGTAAAGACCTCATTGCCACCTTTAGTCTTAAGCTTATGTGTATTCTAGAAGCTAAAATTCATCAATCTGCTTTGGACCCTTGGTTCTGCCACACCCACACCTTATTTGATAACGAGATGAGTTGCGATAATTTCGCTTGTTCATCTCCCGGCAGAATTTGGATTAAGTGGGACTCTTCCCAGGTTTCTTTTAAGCCCTCTTTCACCTCAGCTCAAGTGATACACGGTATTCTGGAATCTGGTTCCCTTCCCCCTATTTTCCTCTCTGTAGTTTATGCCGCTAATGACCTGGTGCAAAGAAAGTCTCTGTGGGATGATTTGTTAAGCTTCTCGTCGAATGGTGATCTTCCCTGGCTTGTCATGGGGGACTTCAATTGCTGTAGGTTTGAAGGAGAAAAAGCTGGGGGTAATCCCCTCACTGTGGACAGATTAGGGGAACTCAACAGCTTTATTTTTGACTCGGGACTGCAAGAGTTGGCTTCAGTGGGGCTGTTTTATACTTGGTTCAACCAACAGTGTGATAATCCTATTCACATTAAACTTGATAAAATTCTGATAAATTCTTGTTTTTTGGAGCTGTTTCCTGTGGCATATTACAAAGTTGACAATCCTTCTGGGTCAGACCATTCCCCTTTAATTCTTTTTGCGGCTCACTTAAAGAAAAAATTATCTAGATTTATGTTCAAGATTTTTTGGACTAAATTTGATGCTTTTTGAGATGAAGTTTTTACTGCGTTTAACAGACATATTTGTGCCAGCCCTATAGTTTTCTTTTATGATTGCTTGAAACAGCTCAAGCTAGCCATCCGTGGGAAGCATTGGAATTCTTCTAATTTCATTTCTAACAGTATTTTAGAATTGAAAAGCAAGCAGCAACAATGCTTATCTGATATACAACTGGACCCGTTAAATCTGGCTTTAAATGCTTCCCTCAAAGATACTAATGACAGTTTAGTTTCCTTTCAATCTGCATGGTTCTCTTGGATTTCTCAACTGGCCAAGGCTTATTGGCTTTACCAGGGTGAGGATGATCTTGGATTTATGTATGCCAAGATTAGATCTAGAAAAAACCAGAACTCTATCAAGGAACTTTCTGCTGTTTCTGGGATTGTTTCGTCTCATGAGGGCTTGGCTCAAACTCTTATTAGTCATTTTAGGGAGCTTTACAACTCTCCCAACCCGCCTTTAGAAAATTCCTATAATATCCCGATTGGCAACATGGTCCCTCCACACTTAATTCCCTCTCTTATCCT